TTGAGGAACACCACAATAAACCATACTGGTGGGAAGACCAGTGGGAAAAAAAAAAAAAAAAGACAGTATTAAAGACCATCGGACATTCCCAGTCTCCTCTGATCAGCGTCAATCAAGAACGCTGCATTAGAAGCTAATGCTCTTATTCCAGATGGCACGTTTCACAGCCTGACTCGAGACTGGACCTGTACCACAAACCCTTTTAAAGGGTAAAACCTCCCATCTAAGACCCTCATCCCATAGGATGAGGACTGAACTCCACTGGGATGTGGGCTATTCAAGCTAATGCACATCTCCTGGAGCACAGGTCACTGGACAAGCTCATTAGGCATTTAGTTGTCTCAACTAAAATGCGGGAAAGATAAGTGTTGCTGGTCTCAGAAATCAAACTTTTTTTTCTCCGATTAAATTCTTCAGCCGCTCAAACCACCGCAGTTGAGGGATTCAAAAGTTCTGTGTAGACGACTTCCCACTCATGTGGAGATGGGTGATCAAAATAACTGTTTGATGGTTTGAAGAAAAAATGAGGCAAAGAGGTTCCAAGTCAACGCTATAAGAGCTTGCTGCTGCTGATTTGAGGAGAACCCAAGAATCCCCAGGGGTGCTGCCCCTCAAAGATCTCCTGCCCCATGTTGGAGGCTCCTTCTGTCTCTATGCTTTCGGGTGACTCCTTTGGGTATCTAAGCTTGATAAGCTGACCTCACAGAGCTGCTGGGCGGGACAGTCTCTATAGAAATCTGTGCCAGGGGACCCAGTTGACACTGAGAGTCAAGGGTCTCCTTCAACCACATGCAAGGATTTGAAACACCAACCGAGATCTAGCGAGCAAAGGTGGCCTGTTAGCTTAGCAGATAAAAATCTTTCAAACTGTGGGGCCCTTGAGGCCAAAGCATTTTTATATGCGAAGAGGTCTGTCGTAGATATCTAGTATTTTGGCTGTCCAGCAGCCCCCTGCTCCATTTTTGCAAACTGTCCTTTCTTTGGGGAATCCCCAGCCCCCCACTCCATCCACATGGTCACACTATCTTAGCAAAATACCATCCTGCCCTCAGTCACTACTAGCTGGCCCAGGCTGGCCAGGCTACCCAAGTTGGGTGCACTGGTATCCTTCCACACAGTATTTTACAAACTGGAACTAAGAAGCATGGCTGAAATTGAGAGTGGACACTGTTGGCAGCCACATTCCAAAATGTAGGAAAAAAATAAAACAGCGGGAGAGGGGGAAGAATACAGTGGACCTCCTGGGTTCCCCATCAGCTGGTTCTACTCTGTCTCCGTATACGTCCAACCCTACAAGATTCTCCTTTTGCAAGAGCTAGTTCCAACTGAGTTTCTATTATTAATACAGAGTCTTTGGTCATGAAAAATGAGAAGTGGTCTAGACTACAGCAATTACATTGCTGTCAAGATGCCCACATCTACCAGACGGTATAAGCTCCTAAACACCTAGATAGTTTCTATTCATCCTTGTAATCAGCCACAGCACTTTATGCCTAACGTACACCTGGTAAACATCTGTTGAATGTGATCTAAAAATATTCTCTGATGTTTTAAAAAAAAAAACCAACAAACTCAGCTTCTTGTTTTAAAGGACTTTTTCTGGTCTATAGAGCAATAACCATCTGTGTGACCCTCACAGCTTTCCAAATGGGCCCACTAGGGGAGGGGAGCAGTACAGAACCTCACAGAGGAGGAGTTACTAGAACAGGAAGTGCTGAAACTTGGAGTGGAAACCACGACTCTCAGAGCAGAGCACGGCGTCACCAATCATGGGACAGAACCCTCTGCCCACACAGGCTCCCCCCATCCTCACATGCCCTGGACACCAGCTTCCCCAGGTTCCACCCTCACCAGCCTTCTATCGGTTATCTTCAGGCCAAAATCTCTTTTCCAGCCTCCCGCTCCACATTCTGAAATGTTTAACATACTCTTCCACTGATGTAACGGCAAACCACCTTCCCCTCTAAAGCAGCCACTCCTCCTGACTCCCCTATTGCTGCGACGCATCCCACCTTCCCAGTGATGGATTATCAAGGTTACTACTGCCATATAATGGCATACTATGCAGTTGTTGAAGACATTATAACATATATTGACTCGGAAAATGTCTGCAACATGCGCCCCCGAAAAGCAAACCAGAAAGTATAATGTGATCCATGAGTGTGAGTGTGTGTGTGTGCACATGCATGCAAGCAGTATAATGCAATGGTTAAACACATCTGTTTGACTCTGTCACCTTAAGGGAGTTACTTAAATTCTGAATGATTTTTAAAAAATATAAAATAGACTTTGAGTATCTATCTGGTAGAGAAGTTATAAGGATTAAATAAGACGATAGATGGAAAGTATTTACATTGTGCCTACACAGGAGATATCCCAAATTACTGACAGTGATTATCCCTAGGTGCTAGGACTGTGAGTAATTTTTAATTGTTTTGCTTAGCTGCACTTTCCATAAAAAAGCTTAAGTCATCTCTGAATCCTGTTCATCACTTTCCCCAACTCTAATACTTAATCAGCAATTCCTGCAGATTCTACTTCAGAGAAGTGTCTCCCATTTGATTCCTGTCTCACACTCACCGGCCCCCGCCCTGCTGGGGGCTCTCACTTCCTCCGTGCACGCCTCCAGCATCTCCTACATCCAGCTCTCCCTCCTACACCCAGCTATCAAATTAATTCCTCCAAGTCCAACTCTGTGCCATCCTCCTGCTTAAACCTTCCCTTTGCTACTTGAGGCTTTCTGCAACCCGCTTGGCCCACCTCCCCAGCCCCCTTGCCCTCCAGCTTTACATGTACACTCCCTGCACTACTGAACTGGAGCACTCAGAGTTCTGCTCTGCTACTTGCCCATCACCCTTTTCCCTTGTTAAAATCTTGTCGCCTTCTGAGGCCTTCCACACTACCACTGCTGGAAGTCAGCACTCTTTCTGTGCCTGCATGGGACTTTTAAAAAAAGGGATTAAGCCCGTTCTGCCATGACTTCTAGTTATGTCCCTTGACACAGACTTGACCTCAGACCTTCGAATTCAATAGACCAACACAATCTATTCCACAGATAACTCAGGAATGAACTCCTAGTTCTTATCTTGCAAGGCCCCCCAGTGGGAGCCTTAGTTTGAGGCGACCACTCAGACCCCACTGCCTCAGGTTAGTGAATCTCTTAAAAAGCCAAAAGACCAGAGTATGTTTAAAGGCTTGTGACACTTCTGAAAAGGGATTTTTCAAGGCCTGTAGCCATATCTTATCTTGATCTCCGCTAAATGTCAGACAGACCAAAGATGGCTGTTTATTTTCCTTGGGCTTCAAATAGTTAGGCTTAGAAAGAGCTCTGGTCCAAGGCATAATTATAAGGTTGTGGCTGTACTTCAGTCGCACCAGGAGGGACCTGGAAAAATACTTTTGGGAATAGCACGTTGACTCCCAAGCCACCACTGCAAGACTCCAGAGCATGTTTATGAACCAGACAGAGCCTCACAACAGGAGTGGCCCTGAGGTTTCCTGTCTCTGTTCCAGTATGGAATGTAACCCGAGATGAGTCTTCCTATTTCACCTTCTTATTTATGCTACATCCAAGTTCAGACTGCAAACATACTAGATGTAGATTTATCTAATTAAAATGCAGCTCAGCAGCCGTGCAATGCTGGTGTCAATTAATGTTTATTAATAAATAAAAATGGTTAGCTTGGAATTTAAGTCATTCTCTAAGAAGCTTAGGAAATCTTTTCAGACAGAATTGGAAATCACTTCAATGCCAGCTACCACCAAGTGGGAAGACAATATTCTATTTGATTACGAAGTGTTAAGGCTGCTTTTCTAGATTTAAGTCTTAGTTTTCAGAACAGATATGCTCCTGAAAAAAAAGGACACATAAATTGAATTTTTCTAAACAATATCTTAACACGCTAGATGTATACTTAAAGGATTCCTATGATAAATTTTTTGGCAAATTTATTCTTGGGGGAAAAAAACAGCTTTCATATAATAGAGTTCCTTAATAAAGTATTTACCTGCACTAGGAGAGGGAAAGAACTGCACTAGTGAAAGGAATGAGCAGATTCTAAAAAGAAAGGGGGTAGGGGGGGCAGTGAACAGGGGACCAGCAAGAGGGTTAGAAAGGAAGAAGTTTTTGTGTTCTCTTCCGGCCTAGCCTAAGCCTGGAGGAGAAAGCTGGAGAAAGACTCATTGCCACCTAAATCCCTGCCCTTGCCCTGCTTTTGGCATCACCCTAAATCGTTAAAGCGTGTGTCCTGGTCCACAAACACCTAATGTACTTCCCAAGGACTGAGAAAAACTAAGTCCCATTCTTTGGAGCTCAGATACAGCCCGAAGAACCCACACGGGCTTCACCCAGACGGGGAGGGCACCACCTCCCCATTCTTCTCAAGCGGGTTGAGGAATCAGCTCTATCGCGCGGAGAGGGGTTAGGGGTGAGCGTTCGCTTTCACAGCCATCTGTGGGCCGGAGCCATCCCGCTGTAATCGGATTCTGCACGCGCCTCCTGGGACGCGGGGGAGGGGGGCGAAGGCTGTTCCAATCTGCTGTCTACACTAGCGCGGACAAAAAGCTGTCCTCTTCAGGGTAGAAAAACACAATAGCACACAGCTCTTACCCCTCGGGCGCAGTGAAAGCCTTTCCCAAACCCGAGAAATGTTTCACTCTAGAGAGGGGTAACAAAGCCGCACCCGCCCCGAGGCCAAGCGCGAACCCCACGCCGCGCCTCCCGCCTTCCAGGTTTCTGAGCCAGCTAGGGCCGGACTTGGGGCGCCCGGTCTCCGAAAACTGCCTTTTGAGAGTGAGGACCCTCCCTGGGCGAAGGTCCAATCTTACGCACAGAGAGGGCATTGCCCCTCTTTCGGGACCGGCGTCTGGGCAAAAGAGCCAGAAAAGGGCGGGTGGGCGCGGAGACTTCCAGAGCAGAGCGCGGGTACCGGAAAACTTCCCCGGGACTGCGAGCCCGGACGGTAAGAACCCCCCGGCACGGCCCGCGGAGCCCCCCTTACCATCTCCTTGCGAAGCAGGGCCAGCGCGGCGTCCAGGTTGGGAGGCTTGGCGGGCAGCGCCGCGGCCCGGGCCCCGCCGCCGCCCGGGCCCCCGCGGCTCAGCTCGTCCTGGATGCGCGACTTCTGCGCGTACAGCCGCTCCAGGTGCCGCCAGCCCCCCGACGCGCCGCCGCCCGACGCCGAGTGCAGCAGCCCGCTCAGACTTTTGGGGAGAGGGGGCAGCCCGTCCACCCGCAGCCCCCGAACCCAGCCCGGAGCCACGGCGGGCGGCTCTCACTCACTTGTCTTTCTCGGTGCCGAAGATGGAGGCCAAGTACTCC